CCTTCATAAAGAGAGATTCTTGTCATTATTGTGAACAATGTATTATGTTCTAATGTCAAAGAATACAAGTGTACTACAAAACCCTAGGATAACGTTACGACGAAAAATACAGTTGTCAAGGAATCTGTTCTGTTAATAAAGGGAGAGATATGCAATATACAGTTTTTACAACTATTGATATTCTATATCTTGAATGAGATAAATTGTTTTACAGTGTGACAGGGAAGTCAGATTGAGATTTGCCTTAGTCGTTGAACGTCAGATAGATTTCGTTAGCTGATTGGCCCACTGTCCTTCATGTCCTTTACCATGGAAAGTAAAACCGATTTATATCGCAAGAATCTGCCTCTGTCCTACATAGACATTCACAGACTCGACGAGGCATTTTCTAATCAAACGTCCAATATCAACTGGGTTTATTTTATCTCATTGTCATCCCTAGTAAATTGAGTGAACGAGTGAGTGAGTGAGTGAATGGTGTCTAGTAACCTTTATAAAGAGATTCTTGTCATTAGTTATTATGTTCTAATGTCAGTTTAGTTTTACGCCGCACTCCTGTGATAAAGGGAGGGATCAATATGCAGTTGTTACAACTATTGACAATAAAAAATTACAGTCCAGCTCATATGGCGGCGGTCTCACAGAATCTCGTCTGAAACATTTTTAATCAGTCCAATATCAACTGGGTTTATTTTATCTCATTGTCATCCCTGAAATGTTCTTGTCATTATTGTGAACAATGTATTATGTTCTAATGTCAAAGAATACAAGTGTACTACAAAACCCTAGGATAACGTTACAACGAAAAATACAATTGTCAAGGAATCTGTTCTGTGAATAAAGGGAGGGATATTCAATATGCAGTTGTTACAACTATTGATATTCTATATCTTGAATGAGATAAAAAAAATTACAGTGTGACAGTGAAGTCAGATTGAGATTTGTCTTAGTCGTTGAACGTCAGATAGATTTCGTTAGCTGATTGCCGCCTTCATGTCCAATAAAGTAAAGCGGATTTATATCGCATGAATCGGTCTGTCCTACATAGACATTCACAGTCTCGACCAGGCAATTTTAATGAAACGTCCAATATCAACTGGGTTTATTTTATCTCATTGTCATCCCTGGTAAATTGAGAGTGGACGGTGATGATGCAGCGGCAGAAAATATAAACAATGGAACCCATTCAATATCACATGAGATACATTTAGTATTCAAAATGGTGTCTAGTTTCAAATTTTGTAAAAATATCTTTTCTGTACCCATTAACTAAATAGCTGCAATAGTGGTAATGAATATGTAAAAATGGTTGTTACATGAACATCCATCCCTGTGCCATTAGAAATGCTATACGTTCTGAAGCACAAACTGATATATGATCATGAATCATATCGAGGAATCCAGAAAGCTTCAACAGTACGAAACTTGGAAGAATCTTTGGAGACTCCCGTTTATAATGGAACTCGGTTCATAGCACAATCCTGACTTATGGGGAACTCGAGGAGCAGTTTTAGAAGGTGTAGATTGCTCCACTGGATGGATTAAAGTGAACAATGACGAAATAACCGGCAATGATTTCGAACAAGGATTTTTGAGGGGGACTATTTAGAATGGTAGCTGGAGCTAACTTCTGCATTGAGATGAAACGTTACCAAAGTTTTAGCAATTCTTGCATCTGACAGCTGCGGGAACAAAAAAGACGAAGAATGAATGATTGACAGCTCATTATGACACATTCAAAAAGACAAAGGGGTGGAAATGTAAACAGTCAACAGTGAGTGAGTTAGTAAGTGACTGAGTAAATATGGTTTTACGCCGCTTTTAGCAATATTCTAGCAATATGACGGCGGGTGACACCAGAATTGGGCTTCACATATTGTACAATCAATTTAGGCTAGGTCTGGGATTGTTGTACACAGGTGGGAATAGCAGAAAAATGACGTCATCATCGAACACCTGGCTGACCTCGTTTCAAAGGGGTGTCAATGACCTTGTACGGAGCTGACCTTGGGATAAACCACTTTTCCCAGAGGTATTTTTAGATCAGGTGCATAGCAACCGAAGGAGAATGACATCATGGCATACGGATAGATCAACTGGTTTAATCCGACCACTTGGAATCAGGATCAAACCACACATAACTGCAGCTAAAATTGATCTCGACATCATTGCACCATACCGACTTCTGTCCTCACCACCATGGCAAATGGTGAAACCACAGATCGATCTTACCCTCACCAAACTCAAAAGTCTGAAACAAATCCCTTGGTGTTGTTCCAACAGGAATACAACCAGTTACGTTCTAAGTATAACACTCACAGATCCATTTTCACAGACGGATCCAAGGACGATGGCCAAGTTGCCAGCTCTACAGTCATTGAGCCAAGACTGTCTCCTCTAGGATCCCCGACAACAGTTCCATGTTCACCGCTGAAGCCAAAGCTATCTTCTCTCAGCTTTGACCTACATTCAACAGCAAAATCAGTCCAAAACTTCATCGTATTTACAGATTCATTATCCTGCCTTCAAGCACTTCTAAACGTGACTTCAAGTCACCCAATCATCCTGGACATATTAAGAACTGTACAACGACCTTTCTACTGGCCAATATGACATCATCCTCTGCTGGTTGCCGGGTCACGTCGGCATAGCAGGTAACACTAAGGCCGATGCTGCAGCAAAAGCAGCTCTCGAAAAGCCCCTATCTCCACTGCTAATCCCGTACAGTGACTTCAAACCCACTATCAAAAGCTATACTCGGGACCTGATGCAAAAAAAGGTGGGACACTCAAGTAGGAAGAAACAAACTCCATGAATTGAAGCCAACAATCGGTTATACCTACTTGGGTTGTCAGTCAAGACGCGATGAGGTAATTTTACGACGATGTCTTATTGGACACAGTCGATTTACACATGACTATCTGCTGAAAACGGATGGGGATGGACCCCCCATGTGTGTCTCTTGCAAGGTGTTCACCGTCAAGCATATTCTGCTTGAATGCGTGGACTTATCGCCTGCAAGGGACTCACATTATGATGCAATAAACCTAAAAGATCTGTTCTCACGCGTGAGCGCCCATCTGATACTGAACTACCTGAGGGAAGTTGATCTGTATCATAAATTGTAACTGTGAAATGTAACAACCATGAATTGTAACTATGAAATGTAACAAACCGCCCGCCTTTAAATTTGATGCTATGACTTTTTCTGCTTTAGAATGACAATGTAATCAGTAAATGTCTTTGAAATAAAACTCATTCCGAGTATAAAACTCATTCAACTCAACTCAACTCAACTCAACTCTCTCTCTCTCTCTCTCTCTCTCTCTCTCTCTCTCTCTCTCTCTCTCTCTCTCTCTCTCTCTCTCTCTCTTGTTTATCTTGAAGATGGAAGCCGTTCACCGTGATATCCTGAGGAACTCCGGTCTAGTGCAAGCTATAAAGCGTGTAGAAGAGGTGGTGGACAAACTCATGCAGTTTAAAGTCCTTACCATCTTCATGAAGGCTGAAATTATTGAAAAACCTCCAACCTCCTTTGACTGTGTCAGAGAACTACTCACCATCTTACCTAGACGGGGACCCCAAGCTTACACCCTCTTCCGTAAAGCACTGGAGGAATGCGGAGAGATACAAGCCATGACATTGCTGGGACTAGAGACAGACAAGAGAAACTCGGGATCGATTCCCCTCACGGTACAATGTGTGAAGCCCGTGATATTCCTAGAATACTGTTAAAAGCGGCGTAAAACCATACTCACTCACTCAATCTACCCTTTGTGCACATGCGGGGACATAAGGGTATATTACACCGAGATAGTGCCCTCTAAAATGCTCTGCTGCCATGGACGGCCAATTCCTACTACCTCTCCCCAAAATGACATGTCTTGGATGAGGTGGAAGAGACCAATAATGTCTTCAGAGCGTCGCCGATGCTTCGCCAGTATCGATAGCCTTGTGGCGAAAGCAATCACTCATCACGACGAAATACCACTTCCCATTTCTCACATGGGAACCTCCTTTCTCCTGCCATCATATTGCTAGAATATAGCTTCTTAAGCGAGCGAAAACCATGTCCATATTGCCTTATATTGCCACCATGTTATATTGTATTGCCGTATATTGCCACCATGTTATATTGTATTGCCTTACAATCGACATTACGATGCCGTTGTTTTCAACTAGCTTTTCAAATTTAATGAACACTTGGTTGTAACACGTCACAAGTCCAGAAATCCGCCGCACTGTGCCCACTTTCTAACAAGGGATTTGACAAAATTAAACATGCAGTTGTCATGAATATATGCTAAGGATGAAAATATGAAAAAAAGATTTTTTTTGGCTAGTTTTTGGGGTTGAACTGAAATAATCGAAGATTGGTCGTAGTGACTAAACGACCAAGCAATCGATCGTAATTTCTCATAATCGAACACAAACAATTCTGGAACACTTGTTTTCATTAACAATATTTTTCACATGGTTGGTTTGTCTGTTACATTTCGTAAGCACTGCAAGCTCGTTTCAAGTCATGATTGAATTTATCTTACAGATTCCAAGAAATTTATGTTCCCAACATACTAGTCAACCTTTAAAGATGTTAAAAAATTGCCAGAAAAACCCTTAAAGAACTACATGTTTTTTTCCTTATTTTTATGTGCATTAACAAATTTCATAAATGACACTAACCAATTATTTCCGATGATTGATCGGTAGTAATGAACCAATCATCAATTAGGAGATTTGAACCAATTCCCAACACTAGTGTATACCACTCACAAACAGGCACAGGGTCATCTTATTGACGTTATTGTTTATGGTCAATTTAGATATACAAAAGGAAGGGTCAGTTTTAAAACCAACTCTACCCCTCAAAAGAAGTAAGATAACACACAATTGTTTCATATCACATTCATGACTGTAATGGGACCTTGGACCGGACCATAAATCGGGTGGTCCTTAAATTATTTTGAGTGATATATGTAGGACTGGAGTGTGTTTGTTTCAGCGACCCAGCGTACTTGGCCTCGGCGGCACGAGGGGTGTATAACGCCATGGTTGCTGGAGATCCACAGGCTATTTGGTGAGGACAGTTGTAGTTCCATAACAACTTTCACCCTGTACTCCAGTCATCGTTCTTGTGTTTGTTACAATATTTTTCGTTTGTTTGTTTAATTACATTATTTATTCTCATGTCAGAATTGATTATTGATGATATATAACGCTTTAAGTATCTCCAAGTACTGATGGTGTATATACACTGCCTTTATTTAAGTTTCAATATACAATCATGAATACATCTGTAAGATTGTTATTCTTAAGTTGACTAGCCTTCCACTGTTGTACCCACAGGTTGATGCAGGGCTGGCTGTTTGTGTTCGGAACTTTCTGGAAGGATCCTCAAATCAAGGCCCTTCTTACCGCTGTGCCAAAGGTTATTAACACTAAATATTATATTACTGTGCAGTCGAGAGGAGGAGAGACATTCGCCATTGTTTCTTGAGAAAGTACACGCGAAGGAAGTTTCGTCAGTGAGTGAGTTTAGTTTTACGCCGCACTCAACTATATTCCAGCTATATCTCGGCAGTCTGTAAATAATCGAGTCTGGACCAGACAATCCAGTGATCAACAGCATGAGCATCGATCTACTCAATTAAGAATCGATGATCTTACCGAGCTAACCCGGATCTTCACGGGTATTTTCGTCAGTACAGTACAAGATGATATTCCTAATTACCTATGATTACATAGAAACCAATTCTCACAATGATACCAAGTATTTCAATGAATGTTACGTTTGTAATAAGAAGCGACACAAATGTGGATTGCATTGTCACAATGGACTATTGTTAATTGTTACGTTTGGTTTCCGTCGCTATCCACTCACTTCAAAATAGAGGGGCGGTGGGGCAGCCTAGTGGTTAAAGCGTTAGCTCGTCATGCCGAAGACCCGGGTTCGAATCCCTACATGGGTACAATGAGTGAAGCCCATTTCTGGTGTCCCCCGCCGTGATATTGCTGGAATATTGCTAAAAGCGGCGTACAACCAAACTCAGACAGTCAGTCAGTCAGTCAGTATAGAAAATCAATCAATCGACAGGGCAAGATGATCATCCTGGATCTGTACTCCGAGCAGACCCCGATCTTCCCCCGCACCCACACTCCTACTACGGTCAACCATTCATCTGGGGTATGATGCATAATTCTGGCGGACATAACGACATGTACGGCGAGCTGGACAAGATCAACCAGGTAACTCTGTAACATCTGTTTTATTCCAGATCCGCACAGTAGCTACAACAGTTAACGTCATCAATAAATAGTCTGTAATGCGACTTTTAGAGATTTGACTCGCGCTTTCGGTGGAACCGACTTAACACGGTCCAATGACCAAAACTGAAGGTGACGACATATAAAGCGTACACGGATTTGCGGATGAGTGAGTGAGTTTGGTGTTACGCCGCTTTTAGCAATATGCCCGCAATATCACGACGGGGGACACCAGAAATGGACTTCACAAATTGTACCCATGTGGGGAATCGAACCCGGTCAGGAGCAAACTCTCTAACCACTAGGTTACCCCAGCTCCCAATTTGCAGATGAGCTGGGTCACATACACATTCCATATGGGTACAATGCCTGAAATCCATTGTCAGTGATTTCGTATTATACACCCTGCTTCTATAACGGTTTGTAAATTTGAAATACACCAAATCTATAAACCTAAACCTTGTTCAAAACATACTACTTGCAAAATTTGTCTTTCTTTTTCGTTTAACATAAACCCGGTCAGTGAATGAATGAGTAGGTAGAGTGAGTTTAGTTTTTACGCCGCACTCAGCAATATTCCAGCTATATGGCGGCTGGTCGGTGAATGAGTGACTGTGATCTGAACAACATAATGCTATTTATACTACCTCGTGTTTTAACATGTTTCCAGGATAGATCAGTATCAAGCACAGCGATACGGGGGAGGCAACACGAACACTTCCGCCGCCTGGGGTTATCTCAGGGTAGGTGTCGTGTTAGAATACCTCTGTGGAGAATCCATGACAAAATAAGTTCCCTGAAATACCTGATGTTTATCTGACGTGCATGAGTGCTAACTCAGAGCTCAGATAGCTAATTCAGCTTAGAGTGAGTGAGGTGGGTTTACTACTTTGGCCTGTATTCGAGTTTTACCACAGTGTGTCAGCTAAAGGGACGAAATCTCGAAGTATACCCGAGGTCTCTCACACAGTTACTGGGGCGGTGGGGCAGCCTGGTGGTTAAAGCGTTGGCTCGTCACGCCGAAGACCCGTGTTCCAATCCCCACATGAGTACAATGTGTGAAGCCTATTTGTGGTGTCCCCCGCTGTGATATTGCTGGAATATTGCTAAAAGCGGCGTAAAACCATACTCACTCATACAGTTACCACTTTCGAGAAAGCCAAAATCACGACTGTAGTGCTGACAAACTTTGAAACAAAATGAGCAAATCTGGAAGCGAACAGACAGTCATCGATTTCCGGCATGGGCAAGGTATGCAACTCTGCGGCGCCTTGGACGAGAGGGCTACCTATGCCCCAGCTTACTAAGAACATGCGAGCAACTACGATTTAAGGCTGTGTTGAGCAATATTCAAACCTGATAACCACTAAATATATAGAGAATACTACACGAGGTCTCATTACATACGAATTATACGAAACGAGTGTCCTTCCTATGGTATCTGACAGAGCGAAAGCGAGGTCAGATAACATAGGGAGGTCACGAGTTTCGTATAATCGTATGTAATGAGACCGAGTGTAGTATTTTATCTATTACCCACTTCTTACATGCATTAAATTGACAAAATAGCGTATTTTTGTTATTTTTTGGTTTCAAACCGAAACCGGTTTCATAAAGAGGTTGCGGAAGAGTTTTGTACTGTAGTACAATATTTGCATGACGTCACACTGTAATGACGTCACTGCCTTGGTAACCGACGTCACGATGCATGTTAGTTGTCATCGCCTCGTACAGCCTCCTACAGTAAACTACTCCGTAGCACCCCGTTTCTTGGTTTGCAGTTGCTTCGTTCGGCTATCATCACTGGTGGAAACATTGCGTTTATGTTTTTCGACGGATATAATGTCTCAGTTCGACTCACAATTAAACAGCGACACGGCAACGTTCGCAATGTTTACATTCCCACAATGCATTTAAGTTGTAGAACGAATGAATTCACGTGTTTGTTAAGAATGAAAAAATAGTTACGTCAGAACGTGACCTAATTGAGAGGTCATCGGTTATCCAATCAAATCGTTAGAATCTCAGGTCATAGAGAATACTACACGAGGTCTCATTACATACGAATTATACGAAACGAGTGTCCTTCCTATGGTATCTGACCGAGCGAAAGCGAGGTCAGATAACATAGGAAGGTCACGAGTTTCGTATAATTCGTATGTAATGAGACCGAGTGTGGTATTTTATTTATCATCCACGTCTTACATGCATTAAATTGACAAAATAGCGTATTTTTGTTAATATTTTGGTTTCAAACCGAAACCGGTTTCATAAAGAGGTTGCGGAAGAGTTTAACACTGTAGTACAATATTTGCATGACGTCACTGTAATGACGTCACTGCCTTGGTAACCGACGTCACGATGCATGTCAGTTGTCATCGCCTCGTACAGCCTCCTACAGTAAACTACTCCGTAGCACCCCGTTTCTTGGTTTGCAGTTGCTTCATTCGGCTAACATCACTGGTGGAAACATTGCGTTTATGTTTTTCGACGGGTATAATGTCTCAGTTCGACTCACAATTAAACAGCGACACGGCAACGTTCGCGATGTTTACATTCCCACAATGCATTTAAGTTGTAGAATGAATGGATTCACGTGTTTGTTAAGAATGAAAAAATAGTTACGTCAGAATGTGACCTAATTGAGAGGTCATCGGTTATCCAATCAAATCGTTAGAATCTCAGGTCAAGTCGTTACGACACAGGTCAACGCGATACGACACTCGTGTGACGTACGAGATTAGTATGCAACTACCCATACGTTGACCACGTGGGTAATAAAAGAAGCATTTGACTGTGAGCATCTTATTAAACAATTCCTTCTGTTTTCCTTTAGCAAAGCGTCTACTCGTCGGGGCCTTCTGGTGTCACCATCATTCACCGGCCGTCTATAGGCAGCCACGAAACGGTGAGAACATGCAACCAGGCTCGGAACACATGTTTGTTGTTATACTATATCTGCACTATCCGCGTATCTCCACTATCCACGTATCTTCACTATCCATGTATCTTCACTATCCATGTATCTGCACTATCCACGCATCTCCACTATCTACGTATCTGCACTATCCACGCATCTCCACTATCCATGTATCTGCACTATCAACGTATCTCCACTGTCCACGTATCTCCACTATCCATGTATCTCCACTATCCACGCATCTCCACTATCCACGTATCTGCACTATCCACGTATCTGCACTATCCACGTATCTGCACTATCCACGCATCTCCACTATCCATGTACCTGCACTATCCATGTACCTGCACTATCCACGTATCTCCACTATCCATGCAACTGCACTATCCATGTACGTGCACTATCCACGTATCTCCACTATCCATGTACGTGCACTATCCACGTATCTGCACTATCCACGTATCTCCACTATCCAGGCAACTGCACTATACACACATCTCCATTATCCTTCGTATCTGCACTATCCACGCATCTCCACTATCCACGTACCTGCACTATCCATGTATCTCCACTATCCACGCATCTCCGCTATCCATGTACGTGCACTATCCACGTATCTGCACTATCCACGTGTCTTCACTATTCCCGTATTTCCATTATCCCCGTATCTCCGCTTTCCACGTATCTGCACTATCCACGCATCTCCACTATCCACGTACCTGCACTATCCACGTATCTGCCCTATCCACCCATCTCCACTATCCTTGTACCTGCACTATGCATGTATCTCCACTATCCATGCATCTGCACTAACCACGCATCTCCACTATCCACGTATCTGCACTATCCACGTATCTCAACTATCCATGTATCTCCACTATCCATGCATCTGCACTATCCACGTATCTCCACTTTCCTCTTCGTATCTTCACTCTTCCCGTATCTCCATTATCCACGTATCTCCACTATCCACGTACCTGCACTATCCACGTACCTCCACTATCCACGTATCTGCACTATCCACGCACCTCCACTATCCTTGTACCTGCACTATCCACGCATCTCCACTATCCATGCATCTGCACTAACCACACATCTCTACTATCCACGTATCTGCACTATCCACGTATCTCCACTATCTATGCATCTGCACTATCCACGTACAATGTATCTCCACTATCCACGTATCTTCACTTTCCACGTATCTTCACTAGCCAGGTATCTTCACTATCCCCTGTTATACCACAATAACCAAGCTGAGCACATAACGAAACGCGGTGTCTTAAACATCGTTCCTCTACTGACCTGAAATGTGTAGGTTCAAAGGGGGCTGGGACCGCTTTCTCCCATTAAGGTTAATGTTAAACGTTATGTTAATACTATATTTTCTTCTATGTTTTGATTATTTTTATGTTTCAGTCAAATAAAAACAAATTTCGCATTATATATCAATTGTATATTTACATATATGACATATCTGATTGTCCCTGGCTAAAGTGGAGTAGTATAAATCCTTCATTGTTGACGCCGTGTAGATGGGCTATGATCCCGAGATGTTGTACAAGGCGTGGGACAATATGGTGGCCGCCACGTTTACAACGCCGGCGCTCCATGCACAAACTCTGTTCAGGTGAGTGTCATCCGAATGTGCGGGTAAGAGTTAGAAGAAGATCCCTGCAACGCATGCTGATGGTAAAACCGACTAAATGGTTCGGGAGCACTTTGGAGGCTTGTTTGAAGCGTACTACTGTGAGAATCGTTGCCGATGATCACTGGATTGTCGTGTCCAGGCTTGATTAGTACCAGGGACCGTCATATCGTTAAGCGTGACGTGCAACAACAAACGAAACATGATTCAGCCCTAAGCAACAACACATGAACACATGGATGTTTTTCAGATACGACCTGGTTGACGTGTCCAGGAACAGCTTGCAGGTGCTCGCCATCAAATACTACTCTGATGTCATCGC